AAACTTGGTGGGCTGCAGAGATAGCTCAGCGGTCTAACCACCTGACTACACAAGCACAAGGACCCAGGTTTGATCCACAGCACCACATACCATCCTGACCCCACCCTAGACCCACTGAGCTAGCCACCACGACCACATGTGGTGACGCACATCTATAATTCCAGCACTGGGGAGGCTGAGACAGGAGGATCACAAGTCTGAGCTATGTAGTGAAACTCTGTACCAAATACATTAAAAAAAAAAAAAAAAGCCAAACTTTCTGAATAGGGAAGAAAAAGGAGGTTTGAAAAGAGGGGATTAGAATGAGAAAAAAAAGAATCAAGATATATCATGTACAGATACAAATTCCATATAATGAATGTGGTCATTATGTATACCTAATTTGTACCAAGAAGTTTAAATAAAAAATAAACACTTGGTTAAATGCTGAGAGAAAAGAAATAAGCAGAAGGAAATAAGGACAGTAAGTCATATGCCGAAGGACTTAAACAGAGGCAATATTCTTCAGAAGCTTGGCAGTGACCACTGTCCCACCCTGCCACCGTGCACACCCGGCCATCCTACCTGGGGACCCGACATCTGATCATGGTATTGCACCCAATCCAGAAACTAACAGCATGTACCTGAATCTCCTAACGCACTGCTCACCTCCTATTTCCTGTGCTAAGTATTCTGCACGCCTTTTTCCCCTTCTGCACCATAAGCTCCAGGGAATTAGGCTGTATTTTTTTTTTCTTTCCAACATTGGAGATGATATTTAAAAATTAATGTTCGCCGAGTTTTAAAATGAGCACATCTTACTTTTGGCTGGCTCTTCGCTGGCTTTCATACGTGGGGGGAAATGTGATGGTGGGGACAAGGTGAGCCGGAAACGCCAGCTCCAAGGGTCTCTGTCATCCAGATGTGCCACAGCAGCTGCAGCTGGTGACACTGAAACTTGTGGACCATGGCAGCTAAGAGAGGGCAGATGTGGTCGCTCAGGCTGTGAGCCAAGGAGAAGCCCAGAGTGGTGGTTTTAAAATGCCCACAAGTCCTTAGCTTTAAACAAGCGACTCCTTTAAACAAGGGAGGGCCAGGGAGATGGCTCAGCGGAATAAGCGCTTCCCTGGCAAGCGCAAGGGCCTGAGTTCAGCCTGAGGTCAATCCCCGGTTCCGCCAATAAATAAATAAATAAACAAACAAACAAACAAGGGAGGTCAAAGTTCCAGCCCTACACACTGATCGGTACTGACTGGCTCACTTCTAATAAGTAGAAAACAACAGAACTATTGGTGTGTGACCCCAGCCCGGGTCATGAGAGACGGTTTTGGCTTGGGCCTTCTGGAGTGCACACTCTAGGGGAAGCCAGTAACACCTGATGGAACCCTGTGGAAAGGTCACAAGGTGAGGAGCTGAGCCTGCTGATCTGCCAGAGAGCCATCTTGGAAGGCGCCTCTCCAGCGCCCCCGAAACCTGCAGCAGATGTACGCCCTACCAAGACTGTTCTTTCTGATCAATACTTTATTAGCATATATTAATTATGCAGAACATTGTGTTACATTACGGCACTTCCTTACATACATATAACATACATTTTTTAAAAAAATTAATCATTTATTTATTTGGTACAGGGTCTCACTATGCAGCTCAGATATGTAGTGATCCTCCTGTCTCAGCCTCCTCAGCACAGTGAGTCCAGGCATGCGCCACCATGCCCAGTTTCAGGGGCCAGCACAGCTTGCAGTACAGGGGCTCGAACTTGGGACCTTGTGCTTCCCAGACAGGCACTTAGACTGCCAAGCTCTCTCCCCAGCCATATAACATACTTTATCAGATCCTTTATCCCATTACCCAGCCCGGCCCTTTTCCCCAACCCCCTTTCCCTTGTGTAATAGTCCTCCTTTTACTTTTATGTCATCTTTCTTTCTCTAGATTTCACACATGAAGGAAAATATGAAACTCTTCTCCAAGTCTGGTGTATTTCCTCCTCTAGGATCATTTCTAGTTCCGCCCATTTTTCTGCAGAAGACATGAGTTCATTCATCTTTGTGGCCGAGTCACCCTCCGCTGTGTATATGTGCCGTGTCTCCTCGGCCTCTATTTAGTCACCAGCACTGAGGCTGGTACTGCACCTTGCCTTTTGTGACTTGTGCCACAATAAACAGCATGTGTAACACCTCTGTAGTATGCTGACTTTAGTCCCCTTGGAATATCTGCCAAGGAACAGGACTAAGGATCCAATGCTACCCTACTGTTAGTTGGGTTTATTTGGGGAACTTTTGTACTGATTTCCACGATGGTTGTGCTGATGCACACTGCAAGGAGCTGTGACACCCCTCTCTCCAGGCACCCTCAGCAGCATTTCTGATTCTTACCTTCTTGATGATAGCCATTCTGACTGCATTGAGCTGGAATCTTAATGCAATTTTGACTCCTCACACTTCCCCACTGGCTAAAGATGTTGAATATTTTTTCATATAATTATTCCCTCCAAGATCCTGGCTGAAACTTTATAAGAAACCCTGAGGCAGAGCCCTGAGCTAAGCTAGTCCCAACTTCCTTGCCCACAGAAAACCCAAGCACTTGTTTCTTTAAATGGTAAGCTTTGGGATAAGTTATGCAGCAAAAGACAATGCATAAACCCAATGAGAAGCTGGCCGAAAAGAAGCTAAGATAGAGAGGGGGGATGGGAAACGGGACTGCTAATGGCGTCCGAGTTCCCCCTTTCTACCACCTCTGCACAATAGCGAGGCGGCCTTCAGCCTTGCGTGGAGGCACTATCTCCATCTCACATAAGTTCCCACCTTCCCTTTCTGTCTGCTAGAGTTTACTTCTTCAGGTATCCTCCACAAAATATCTTGAAGTAGGGCAGCCCAAACAGCTCAGTGGATTAAAGTGCCTGCAAGGGGCACAGGGGCCGGAGGTTTGATCCCCGAGCCTGCCGTGCTGGCCCCACCGCTGAGCCTGGGCATGGTGGTGCACACCTGTAATCCCAGGTCTTGGGAGGCTGCAAACAGGTGCATCACTACGAGTCTCACTAGTAGTGAGACCCTGAAGACCCTGTAGACCCTTCCCTAAAATATAGAAAAGAAAAAATATCTTAAAGTATTGACTTGGATTAAGAAAACCTTTTTCTGGCTTCTTTCTTCTTAGAAAAAGCAAACCTTGTTTTAAAAAAGGGTGTCCAACTTTACTGCACAGCATGAGGTTACAGTGTTCTCTGGGTGTGAGATCTCGTAGGAGGGACAGCGAGGAGGAAAGCAGGAGGCCCACTAGAACGTGAGAATAGAGAGGCCTATTCCCTGGCCCCAGGCCTGTGACGGACTCAACCCCAGGAAGAGTTGATCCCTCAGTATTACTCCCCATAAAGCATATCAGCATGTTTTCAGCCCATGCCTGTGTTATAAGAAGACATCTGGACTCTAAGACAAGTGACAAGTGTGAATGTCCTCTGAGCATATATCTGCGCCTCGGGAGTTTGTAGCTAAGCCAGTGGAGGAGTGCTCAGTAGCAGGCACAGGTCACTCCAGCTCTCAGCTTGGCTCGTTCTGCTTCCGGGAGCACTTTCCAGGTCCACAGCTTGGCGGCGAGGGGCTTTCTGCCAGCGCTGTCCATTTCTAGGGAGGCTCAGAAGGCTGCGGGGCTGGAGCAGGAGGGTCACCTTCGCCATGGAAGTGCCACTTGCTCTCACTATTGGGATCTTAAGAAATCGTGGGGGAGAAATTAGAGTTCAAGCCTGGAAAGCGCGGGGCTAGTTCTCCTTGTGGCAATGCACTTGCTAGCCATGGGCCTATGGCTTACGCTCATCACCAGGGCAGCTCTTCAGGGCATGCCTCAGCATGGCCTGTGCGTGACTTCAGTAATTTAGCAGCCTTCGCCAGCTCCTCCCTCTGAACTCACATGCTGGGAACGGTCCTCTGGAAATGTAGGCTGTTGTCGCTTTGT